CTGCCCTCCTGGCAGCCAGGGGAGGGCCCAGCCACCCACCCATCCCTTTACTCTTTCATCATCAAAGGACTTGCCAGTACCTGCTTCAGGCTTCTCCATCCCAGACTCTGAGGTGGGTCGTAGGGCCATGTGCACTATAATTAAAGGAAACACTGTAGTACCTCACCCAACGTAAGTGGGCCCCATAGTCTTCAATCATCATGAGTTCCTAACCTATCCAGAAGTGTTGATGTCAGGGAGGACTTCCTGGAGGAGCAGGCATCTGAGCTCAGCCCATCTCATGAGGGCCATGGAGAGCTATTAGGCTTTAAGCAGGAGAGTGACTTTAGGATTGGCTTCACCATCCTAAAACTTCTAGATTTCACGGATCACCACCTTCCCCTGTTTCCCCCCCAATCCTTTTGTGGTTTAATTTTTAATGTTTAAATTTTTAATCCATTTAGACTTGAAAAAAAAATTTACATGAATGTTTTCAGACATACTCAAAAGTGGAGAGAAAAGTATGCCCACTACCCATCACCCAGCTATTACTCCTTAACTTTTGGGAACAGACACAGCTGCCAAATTTTAATTCTTTCAAGTAATATTAAAAAAAAATACCACTTACTATCACTGTGATTTCATGAAAAAAAGGACATTTTGAGCCAGCCTTTATGGCCTAGTGGTTAAAGTTCAGCACGCTCTGCTTCAGTGGCCGGGGTTTGGTTCTCTGGCGGGGAACCACCCCACCCGTCTGTCAGTAGAGTAGCCATGCTGTGGCGGCTCACAGAGGAGAACCAGAAAAACTTGAAACTATACACAACTAGGGGCCGGCCCCATGGCTTAGCAGTTAAATGCGTGCGCTCCGCTACTGGCGACCCGAGTTCGAATCCTGGGTGCGCACCGCTTGTCGGGCCATGCTGAGGCTGTGTCCCACATCCAGCAACTAGAAGGATGTGCAACTATGACATACAACTATCTACTGGGGGTTGGGGGGGAAAAAAAAAAGGAGGAGGATTGGCAATAGATGTTAGCTCAGAGCCGGTCTTCCTCAGCAAAAAGAGGAGGATTGGCATGGATGTCAGCTCAGGGCTGATCTTCCTCACACACACCAAAAAAAACCCAAAAACTATACACAACTATTTACTGGGGCTTTGTGGGGGGGAAAGGAAGATTGGCAACTGATGTTAGCTTAGGGCAAAAATTCCCCTGTAAAATAATAATAATAACTTTTTTTTTTAAATCCCTTTTCAAAGAAAGAACATTTTAACACACACATACACCCAGATAGAAAAAGACTTTAAGATGAATAAGCTCAACTTGGGGAGAAAGTTGTCTTTCCTTTTCTTATGTCACCAGGGCTCCATCCTCACCCGAGGGCTGGAGTGGGGCCACCCAGGCAGACGACATGCTTCGGAAGGGCCTGGGCTGGTGCTGGCTCATTGCTGGCTCTGGTCAAAACATGTTGAGGCTGGAGAGAAGGGCCAGATAGCGATCTCTAGAGGCAGATGAAGGTGGACCCGTTTTAACATGGGACATTTAACTCCTGTCTCATCCTTTTCTTGACTGCATCAAGATTCAGTCTGGGTTGCGGAGGAGGTGAGTATTTCCCTTCCCAGCAAAGGACTGTTGATAATCCAGGGGTTGGTAGAAAGAGGAGCTGCTGGGGTTGCTAATGATGAGGGCTGCCATCCAGCTTATGGGGAAAGAAAAGAGAAGGGGGCATTTGGGTCCAGAGAAGGAGACAGAGGCAGAGGAATCTGGGAGAAGACCTCGAGAGAGGGAACCAGCAAAGGGCTCCTTGGTGGGACTCCAGACCCGTGACCTGAGGGTATGGTCCAATGAGGGGGTCCTAGTCCTGTGAAGAGCCAGCTGAGTGGCTCTCGAGAAGAAAGCCTGCAGGGGCCACATGGGATCCAAGCACTACCCAGCTTCCCAACCACCCGGGTTTCTCCAGGACAAAACCTTTCACCTCACCCCCTCTCGGTTCTCCAGCATCCTACCTGACAGTGGACATGCCAAGGTCTGGCCATATGGATTTTGTTCAACTGCCCAGGGCAGCTGTAGACCAAGGTGGCTTCTGGACCCAGGGCAGGGCGGAGCTCCCACACCTGTCCTGGAGGGAGGGGCTGGAGGAGGGCAGAGCTGAGTAAAAGGCCCTCTGATAGGGTGGTTGAGGAGGGAGCCCATTACGAGGGAGACCCTCACAGGGCTCAGTTGAGGCGTGACAGAGACAGGCAGTAGTGGGTGTCACCCCAGAGGGGAGAGGCTTTGGAAGGAACGTAGAAGCCCTTTCGGCCACACTGAGTAGCACCTGGTAGCCAGGTAGTAATGTTTATTGGATAAAGGAAAGAATGAGAAAAGTTCTTGCTTTACTTCTTTTTCCCCGGAGCCTTGGTTTCCTCAACTACAGGTTAGGGGTGTCATCTCCCCAGCGGGGCTGTAGTGAAGTTTAATTGAGATAAACCAAGTTAACTTCACCCCCTCATTTAAGACACAGCTTGGGCATCACCTCCTCCAGGAAGCCCTCCTTGCTCTCCCATCTGAATATGATACCCTCTCGGTGCCCCCCAGGATATCTCAACACTCTGCTTTCGGAACCCCATGGCTGTGGAAACCGTCTGCCTCTATCACTGGATTTGGAGCACCTTCAAGGGAGAGGCTGCATCTGACCAATCTCTGGGTCCCCCAGCATGGGACTTAAGTGCAGGGCTCTCTGCGCACAGTGGGAGCTTACTGAAGGCGGACAGATTTACTCGGCACGTATTAGGCCAGCGGGTTGCCCCCTATTCTACCTAGCTGACCGCATGGCAGGAAAGGGTTCCGCAGAGTGGCCCCTGCCCACCAGATGGCCCCCCTAGCCATGCTCTATAGTGACGCCCAGGATGGTGGTGGAGGGGGGAGAGGAGGGCTGGAGAGGGTGACTCTGCCAGGGGTCAGCAGTCCAGGCCACTCCTTTCCTGCCCCTTGCCTTATCCCCGGCAGGCCCTAGCAGACGGGATGGCTGGCTGGGCAGAACGGAGCAGGGGTGCTCCCGGGGGACCCCCACCATGCATGGCTGGAAGGAAGGGCAGGAGAGTGGAGGGTCTCCGGGGGGCCCCCCCACGATGCAGTTCCTGCTTCTGAGTCAGCAAAGCAGACCCAAACTGCGCGGGTCGAGATTAGTGCGTTAACTAGCAGCTCAGGGCACTAACCTGGAAGGACAGGAACCCTGAGAGCTTGGGGCTCTGAGCCCCACAGGCAGCTCTGCGTGGCAGGGGACCCCACCTTGGGCCTAGGAGCTCTGGGTGCATGCTCTAGCTCTGCCGGTCCTTAGTGGTGTGACCTGGGCAAGTATGTCACCTGTCTGAGCTTTAATCGGTCACGGCTTCCATTTACCAAGGACCTGTGCTTGCCAGGCACCCACTGGGCGAGGCGTCCTCACGGGCGTCATGTCACGGAAGCCCTACCGCGGTCCTAGGGAACAGCACCCTTCCCTAACAGATGGGGCCACCAGGATGAAGTGGGGAAGACGGAGCTGGCCTTCCCAGGCAGAGCCCACCCCTCCTGTCTGCAAAGAGAGGTCCCCACCGGGTGGCACAGGCAGCCCTGGGTTGGCATCCAGGACTGGGCTTCCAGTGCTCACTGCTGCTTTGCACTGGTGGCAGGTCGCCTCGTCCCATGTCTGCACTTGGTCCCAGCAGTGGCAGCACCAGCCAATCCACCTGTCTCCATCTGTTGCCAGTGCTGACCCATGACCTCAGGGAACTCCCAGGCAATCGGAGGGCAGGGGAGGTGACTCCCCGAAGGTCTGTCCCAGGGAACCAGGTCCAGCAGACTTGTGCCCTGACATCCCCAGCTATGTCCCCTGGCTGACCAGTCTTGGAGCCCTAAGGGCGGCCGCCTTCCCCGTCCCCCCTCCTCAGCACAAGGCTGCAGGATCCCAGTATGTTCCGGAACCCATCCTGGAGGCCATCCAGCAGTTGGTTGACTCCCCTCCCTCAGCTGTTGCCACCCCTGCACTTGCAGGCCCTGGGGTGGGTCAAGGGTTCAATCTCAGGCTCGCGCCGGGAGGCCCTCCTTGCAGACCTGTGTGTTGCCTCGCAGGTGGAAGGTGCACTCAGCTCTACACGTGGTGGTTCTCGGACCTCCCTCCAACATTCCAATTGGGGTCAGATCCCTTCCAGCTTGCGTTTCCGCCCTCCCCTCCGAATGTGGTCATTCCTGCCTGGCTTTCAGAGCAGCGGGAGAAGAGCCGACACACCATTACTTGCTGAATCCTCCGTCTCCTTCCACAGACTGGGGACCCCCAGGGGCCGGGACCAGGCCTTATCTGTCTCCTCTGGTCCCACCCGAGTGGGCACCTGGTAAGCCTTGGGCAGTGCATCCACTGGGGTCAACATGGACAGCAGGGCCAGGAGGGCCCCCTGGCCCCCAGCACCATCTCCTGGCAGCAGCAGCAGCCCTGGGCTGGCACACACAGAGGTCAGACTGTAGTCAAGACTGGCCAGGTATATAATCTGCAGAGCCCAGCGCAAAATGAAAGTGCAGGGCCTCTTTCGCAAAAATTATTTAGAATCTTGGGACAGTAACAGCAGAGCACTAAATCACGCATAGGGCCCTTCCTTTTTTTTTTCTGAAGAGGATCTGCCCTGAGCTAACATCTGTGTCCATCTTCCTCTAGTTTGTATGAGGGTTGCCACCACAGCACGGCTGACGAGTGGTGTAGGTCCACGCCCGGGATCCAAACCCATGAACCCAGGCTGCTGAAGCGGAGCGTACCAAACTTAACCACACCACTGAGCCGGCCCCAATGGGGTCCTTCCTGACCCCATAATCAAGCACCCATGAAGCTGGCCTGCCTGCGGGCCTCTGCCCAGAGGTCTCAGCCCTTCCCTGTGGGGGCCTGATGGAGACAGACCCTGTGCCCAGGAGGGCAAGTGCACAGCTCCAAAGGCCGTCCAGGGGAAGGCCAGAGGTCGTATTCACTCCGTGGGGACACTCAACGTGGACGCGTACATGGCACAAAAGAATGGCAGTGATGTTTTAAAAAAATTAAGTTTATAAATATTTTCTCCACTGTACAAAGTTTTCTCAGCCCCGCCCACCCCATCACTGTTCACATTTCTCATGTTTTTAAAATCCCAACTATATTTTTTAAATCATAAAATATATTTTTTCTTTGTTCATATTTAAAACTATTTACAGGGGCGCAGAGAGGCCGGCGGGCGGCGGAGGTCAGGACGAGTCCGTGCAGGGGGACGGCGGGGGCGGGAAGAGGTGGAAGTAGCTCCTCTCGGTGGCGGGCGAAGGCGGGCAGCTGTCCTCCGCCGACAGGTACTGGCTGTGGGGCGTGGGCGGGGGCGGGTAGGGGTCTGAGTCCGAGTTCAAATCCAGGTAGTACTTGCTGGTCTTCCAGCGGCTGGCGCTGTAGTCGCTGTCGCACACATCCGTGCTGCAGGGCGTGGTCGGGGGCGCCATGCCTCGGATGATGTAGGGCCTGACGGGGACAAAGAAGGGGGGGGTGGGACCTTGATTCGGGGAGGCCCCCAGCTGTGTGGTCTCAACATCCCCACCTCTCAGGTGGGCGTGCCTGCACCCACCCTGCGGGGCTGCCAAGCCCCGGCCCTGGCAAGGACGGCAGCCCCAGGCCAAGGTCGCCTTTATGGAGAGCGAGGCCTTCAGAGCCTGCCTGGTTGATCTTGGGCAACTTACTTAACCTCTCTGAGCTTCGGTTTCTCATTGATAAAACAGGGAGGATGAAACAGCACCCATTTCAAAAGGGGCCTGTGAGGATTAAAATGAGATTCTGCATGGAAAGTGCTAGAAACAGACACCAGAAAAGTGCTTGATAACTGTTCCCCAGTATATCATCACCGTAAATATGGGAGACCAGTTGGCCTGGAATGGTCCCATCTTCAGTGAAAGCAACCTGACCCTGGAGATGTCTCCTGGCCGCCCTCAAAACACCTCCTGCACCCTGAAATCCTGTGTCCGGCTGCCCCGTGGTGTGTTTAATTAAGAGCCCCAGTGGGCGGGAAGGGGGAGCCACCACCCGAGGGCCAGCAAGGGGCACCTGGTCCTGAGCAAAGAGCAGCAGGAGGATCAGCCTCATAGGATCCCGGGAGCAGGAAGGGACCCCAACAGACAGTGGGGGGAAGAGGTATCAGAGTAGGACCGAAATCAGGACAGAACGAGAAAAGCGTGGGGTGAAGGGAGACTGAGGGGCCTGGCCTGGCTGGTGTGGATGTGACAGCCCTGGGGACAGCGGCTGACGAGGCTACTGGGGACAGACGGTGACGCTGAGGCAGTGGGGAGCCTCTGCAGGTCCCTGAATAGAGCAGTGACCCAGCAGAGCGGCTGCACCCACGCTGGGCCCCGGAGTTCCTGAAATGGCCACCAGGTGGCAGGCGGCGCCACGCTCAGAGGCTCCGCTACTCCAGGGGACCCCAAGGGAGGAGAATGAGGGGCCTGGGCCACTCCCAAGCTTCTGCCTCCACCTGGGTGGTCCACAGACATGCCAAAGCCCTGATCTCCACACAGGGGGCAAGCCTGGCCCAGGCCCACCCCCCACCTGCCCCGTCAGGTAGCTCCCTTGGGGGTGAGGAGCCCAGTGTAGCTGTGGGGTGGGCCCTGCTGGCTGAGACCACTGGGTTACAGTCAGGAGGTTCATGTCACCTACCCCAGGCTCTGCCCCGGCCCCTGGACACAGGCCAGCACCCCCAGATCCTGTTTCTGCTTAACATTCTCAGGTGTCCCCACCCCACCCAGGGAGGTGGGGCGTGTGACCCAGATACAGACAGCTTGAGGTGGGTGGGTAGGGGGCCTGAGCAGGCCTGTGGGCTTCCCAGGCTCAAGCAGGCCCTTGTAGCACATGAGAAAGGATTACCCTATCAAGGGCCCGCAGGGGGCCAGGCACCCCACCAGCACTCATGGGGACTTGGATTTGATCCTTACAGGGGCCAAGGCAGCAAGAGGGGGCATCACTGCCAGGGTCCCACAGCTGGATTCAAGCACAGTTCCCGGCGCCTGTGCATCAGGCCTCCCCGGAAGGTGGGCAGCCAGCTTGCCGTTCCCCAAGGCCCTCCTGGGGGTGGGGCCTGGCCGTGCCACAGTGGGAACCCCCTGGTGGCATCCTTCAAGGCCACATCTGCCCCAACACATCCCGGCTGACAAAATACCCCGAGAGCTGCTACAAGAGCCTGCTCAGAACATGGGACTCGGCTGGTTTCTGGTCTCAACAGCCAGGCCTGGCTCGCTCACGGGGCAGGCAGCCCGGTGTGGTCTGAGGGGCCAGCAGAGCCAGGGGGAGCAGGGCTGGGCCCCAACGCACACCCACCAGCGCCCTGGACCCTCCCCGGCTTTTCTCACCTAGGACCTGGGGACAAGGCCCCTCCTCTACCCCGGGCTTCTCTGGGGGGCTGTGGGGGCCTTTGTACCTGTAGGGTCTCGCGGTGGCGGGAATGTTTGAAGAGTAGAACATGTCCACGTTGTACAAGGAGGGGTCCGTGGCGGGGGACGGCGGCGGGTTCAGGATCTGAGGAGAGCCGAGCAAGGGTTAGGGTGGCCTGACAGACCTGCCACCGCCCGCCCGCCTCGGGGTTAACTTAATAGAGCAGGGGTCCCGTCTGTACCGGCCAACTCGGCTAAGCGGGCCCCACGCCTCCCAGGATCCCCCGGTCTGCGGAGGGGAAGCAGCAGCTGTCCCGCCCTGAGGGTCATCATGGGGACAGTGGAGAGAGCAGGGTGCCTGCAGCCCAGGGTGCCCGGCTCGCTTCCCGGGCACCTGCCCTGCTGACCCCAGTGACCCCAGGCCTGCACCCACACGCCTCGCCGTGAGCTCAGAGGTGGGACTTGGAAGCAGTCCCTGGACGCCCACACCAGCCCCCTTTGTGCTTCCCCACCCCAGCAGATGTCCCCACAGGCCCCGCGTGTCCACCTGCACAGTGACCCCTCACGAGGCCCCTCTGGGACTTTCCCGCCAACTCCCCCTTTGGACTTTTACTTCCTCATCTCCCCCCGCATGGTGCAAAGTCTAATTCCTATAATACAGGAGCCCCCGTTATCCGTGCGGGGTCTGTTCCAGGACCCCCAGTGGATGCCTGAAACCGCGGGTAGCACCCAACCCTATATATACTGTGTTTCTTCCGATTCATACACACCTGTGATAAAGTTTAATTTACAAATTAGGCACAGTAAGAGATTAACAACTCATAATAAAATAGAACAATTATAAGAATATACTGTAATAAAAGTTACCATAAATCTTAGCAACCTCAGCATAGAATTTTTTTCTTTCCTTACTAAGTTGAGAACTTTCACCTTTTCACTTAAAGGAAGCACTGTATGTACTGCTTCTCTGTGGCATATCCGAATTGCCAGCATCACTACTCTTACACTTCGGGGCCATTATTAAGTGAAATAAGGGCGACTTGAACACAAGCACTGCGATACTGTGACAGTCATCTGGTAACGGAGACGGCTACTAAGTGAGTGACGGGTGGGCAGCGTATTCTGCATAGATCCGCTGGACAAAGGGACGAGGCATGTCCCCAGTGGGATGGAGCGGGACGGTGTGAGATTTCATCACGCTACTCAGACTGGGTGAGGAGCAGAACAGACCTCAGGGTGTGGGAGAGGCAGGGCAGGGGGTGGTCTGCTCCAACAGAATGAGCCGGCGGGTAGTTACCCCTCAGTTCCTCAGCCTCCTCATTTGCAAAATGGGAGGACGACAGCACCCCTTTCTGGAGCTAGGTTAATGTGGCACATAGAGACTGCATGCATCGGCTGGGAGCGTGGGAAGGGCTTGTAAACCCAGCTTTTACTTATTGCTAGTAGCAGAAAGCGAGGCTCAGAGAGCAGCTATCCCCACCTTCAGATGCCATCATTTGGGTTTTAAAAAGTACATATGGGGCTGGCCCTGTGGCTTAGCGGTTAAGTGCACGCACTCCGCTACCGGCGGCCCGGGTTCAGATCCCGGGCGCGCACCGACGCACCGCTTCTCTGGCCATGCTGAGGCCGCGTCCCACATACAGCAACTGGAAGGATGTGCAGCTATGACATACAA